CATGTGATTTGCTACTCGTTGATATGGCTATGTGAGTAGCGCGTTTTTGTGCAGTCGCTGCTGTTTTCGATTTCGAGCCTTTATATGCTGGTATCTGTTGCGCCGGTCCTATAGACGCCGTTGTTGAGCTAACCGAGCCTGGTACATTAGACTGTTGATGATTATTTTGATTTACCGGAAAATCTTCAACCATCTCTGTATGATCATAATTTGATATTATGGGCGGATTACTTTCATTTAAATTGTATTCAATGTCATTAGCAAAAGAGTTCGCCATCGGCATGTGGAGATAAATTTCACGTTCCCCTGGCATTTTCAACGAACTGGGTCCATCAAAATTTAGCGAACAAAGGCCGTTGCCGCTAAACGAACTGTACCCGGTACTGGATGCCATCGATGGGAAATTATATGGAGGTGATGTATTGGATTTATGCGCTAAATGACTCGCGCTCGTATACGACGCATCATAAACACTATTACTATTCACAGTATGTAATAAAGGAATAGCAGACGTTGTGGCCGGGGGCGGAGAAGTAGTGTCCAATAAGGATTCGTCGACCAACTCAAGACTCAAGTTTGGCGATGAGTGGCCGTCAAGACTGGGACTCTTGTTATCCTCATTTTCCTCCACCAGCCGTGAATCTTTCGGACCTGTAATTGAGAGTCTCAGCTTCTGACTACCGCGCGAAAAACTCTTTCGTGTAGTGGAATTATGGCTGAAAGCGGTGGGTGTTATATTTGACGGATTGTAGAACGGGAACACTCGGTCAATACTTAGTGCATTTATTGAAACAATACTTTGTTCATAGGAGCCACAGATCTGCGAAATAGAAAATTAAAAAGTGTTTGCCCGCAATGGAAGTCCATCCTATTAACGTACCAGTTTTCGATTAACAACTTTCATGTCACCCAACGCAGTCCAAGTGGATATTATGTGATCGAATTCGCGATCCGGTTCCCATCCAATTACAGAAATACCTGCTGCAGTGCCCACAAAGAGACACTCCCCATTTTCGCTGGAAAATTTAGTTTGTAAATATAACGTAAGTGATATCGGTATGTAATTCAAATTAAATACCTGAATGTAATGCACTTTATTGGATGTCCATAAAACTGGCTCTCGGACTCAGTCTGAGAGATACGCGCTTGACTCTCCAAATCGTATATGCAGACGGTGCCATCAACACGTCCAACGGCCAAAAGAAACTCAAACGGATGAAATTGTATGCAAGTAATAGCAGCTGCGGGCGGCTGTTCAGTAAAATCCATGATTTGTTTACTCTTACGTATATCCCAGATTATCACGGACCCTTCTGTACCAGCAGAGGCAATCCATAATCCATCCGGCGAGAACTTTACAGAGTTAACCTGAGCGATATGTCCTCGGTAAATCTTAATACACCTATTTTGATTCCTGACGTCCCACAGCCTGTTATTTAAATGCGAAGAAACAAAAGTCCATTTTATACAAATTTAGATGAAACGATTGAGTTTCGCATTTTTTATGGTGGGTTTAAACATAGTGCGAAAGTATATAAGTAGTAAACTTAGATCACGTAAACAGCCTTCATATTTAATTGGCTAATCTTAGCTTCACCAACTGGCTCCTGCGATTAAACTAAGTTTAAACAGCAATCGGATTTAACCGCGGCCCGAAAATCTTGTCTTTAAAAACACTTTGTGGAGAAGGAGTAACTGCTAAAGTAGGCTAAGTATAAACAGGTACGATTCACCAATTTAAACAGGGTTTGTAAAAAGTGTGAAACTTTCTGGCAACCCTAATTAGGAACTTCGATTGTAGTCACTGAGAAAATAGTTAACCCGAAACCAATGAAGTTCATAAGTGGAGAAGAAGTCTTTGCGCGAAATTATTCTGGAGCCCGACGATGAGTCGAGGCCAAAGTACTGAAGTGTGTGGGAAATAAGCCAGCATCAAAACCAGCTGAGAGGCAACAAAACAAATGAGTCGTCAGAACAAGTCGATGTTGACATTGATCTGGAACCAGCTGACTCTCTTCACACACACACCACATCATCACTCAGCTGTGCAGACACCTCCTAATAACGAGTAGACATATCATCAGTTGCCGAAAACCAGTATCAGTTTACCATTAACACCGCTTAGACGTTAGCAACGGATTAGAAAGAAACCTGTTAAATTAGATCTTTAAAAAACAAATTAATTTCGTAATATATACAGAAAATTAAGCCCAGGGGAATGTAATAAGTGTAAAACCTTCTGACAACCCAAATTAGGCACTTCCATTGTAAATCAACGTGGTAGCACTTGGTAAACTTTTGACTTTTAAAGTCATTCCATTGTTTTCGCTTCTAGCAGCTTCCAGGCGGTTTTACAAGCTCTTCAACTAGAAAAATTACTCTTAAGGAATCTTCTGTAACTTAAGTTGTATTTATTGAATAATCTTCACGTACATAGAAGCGACTGCCTTGGGACAGTTCAGGCGAAATTAGTGTGTGGACACCGGACCTAATACTAGTTATTCAGACTCGACCCAGACATATGTAGGTACCCAACACATTTCTGCCCTATAACGGTACCCCCAGTACACGCGAACCACCTCTTTACCGGATTTCCACCTAGTTTATTTATGTACCAAAATCTAAACATTATAAATATTTATTTCATTTAAAATTGAATTAGAAGATTTTCCATCGCCGAACGAAAGTCTTTCACTGTTTTTTGTTGTAGCAGCTTACTAAACGCCGTCTAAATCAGTGCATCGGCATGTTGTGTTCATTCTCATTTAGAATGGAATAGAAAATAATAAAGTAAGCAGTGCGACCAGTAGGTCTGTTGGGCCCTCGGCTTATAGCAACACCTATGAATTTTAGAACAGATACCGAGGGTAGAGAGTGTATGTGCACTTTTCTTAGCCATATATCGCACGTAATAATAATATACAGAATTATTCCAAAATTTTAATTTGGGGAAAAACTTAATCAGAAATTCATCAATTCGTACGGTTTGTATACCAAAATACAAATGGAAATACACATATCTTCGCAATTTTTGGAAAGTTTAGTCATCTATTAGATATTCTGCTTATCAAGCTTATTAATTGTATAGTGAAATCTCCGAAAACGTAAATTTTGGATTACATCGCTATATTGTTTAACGTGTGATATATCGTAAGCATCTCTCCTTTCTTCGTAAAACGGCCTCACACTCCAGGAGAAGTTACAATAGGTTCTCCTTGGCGGAGTCACAAAAGCGACATAGATCGCTGGATCAGATCGCCAACTTACGCAAGCGGCCCCGAAGCCTAAAAGGACCCGTCAAAATACCTGTAATAATTCTTAGGAGACTTGGAGAGGTTTATAAGTAATCTGCATCTCTTTAGATTGTACCCCCCAACAATAAGCTGTTGGCGTGACGAAGGCCCATAGTGTAACGCCAATGGAGTACCCTCAGTTTACTTTTTTTTCTTTTCTGAGGACTTCTTTTATTTTGCTGGGATCCACCGTAAGGAATGGCTCAGGTCCTATCGGGGCCGAGGCAGCAGCCAGTCTCCCATATGCCCTAGTACCAATATTAGTTGCTTAGTGTTATACTCAGCAAGGGCATTAAGCTTCTCAATGCACTCCAGGACCAATAAGGATTTGACCTCGAACGATGAGAGAGCCATAAGTGCCGCCCGACTATCAGCATGCTCGAGGTTTCTCCGGCAAAGGACTGTTGTATTAATGATCTACTCTTGTCAAGATCGGTGAACCCCATTAAAAGTGCATCGTTTCACTTATTTTTTCTGTTTTACTTGTAATCCAAAATACGTATGTATTTTAAACTTATTTTGCCTAATTGATTTCTATCCGAGTTTTTGACCGTCGTCAAAAAACGGAGAAGGTTATCAATTCGTCGGAATATATATATTTTATGTATGTGACCGCATAACTTTGGACCACGTTAATCGATTTCTATAATTCTTTTTTTTTTTTAAGGAAAGGTGTTACCTCAGAGGTGGTCCCATACTAATTTGGTTTGGATCCGATCATTTGATCATCAAGAAATTAACGATAATCTGAAATTTGTATATGAGTTTTGAAGTCGGTTTTTTTTGCTTAAAAGCTACTTGTTCTTAATTTTGTAAAGGCAGAACCGTTTTTTTTTTTAATTGCAATTTTTCGAATAACTCGAAAACTGGTTTTCGAAAAAGGGCGGATAATCGAACACCCTAGCTGACACCCCTTTGGTCCGACTTAAGGACTATTCGATTTAGGCAGCGCTTAGTTGTGCCGTTGCAATAAAAACTAGATCTAAATTGTTCCTGCAACAATCGGGTCTACATACATATGAATATACAGTTGAGGCCACATAATTAGCGACACGAATTCTTTACAAGTTATGACTACTTATTTTTTCTTTTATGTCTAAGAAAAAAAGTTTGAAATTTGCATTAAAATGTGTGATTTTGTTTACTTTACTACAAAGTTTTAAGCTTATGTTTGATTTTCGTTTCCACCAGAGACTGGCATGCGTTGAACGTCAACTATTGCATACTCAATCAATACTGCTGCTTTGTATGACTGAGCAGCGCGTTGACTTAGTAGTATCGATACCTAAAAGAAATTAGAGGATGACTGAACACCAGCGCATAGCCTCCTGCCTTGCAAATACAGCCATCACAAGTGAACGGTATCGTCACCTGAAATGTAAAAAGTCCTGACTATAAAAGCGCAAACAGTCAACGACGTTGCGTAGACGTAGGTTGACGCAGACCCGACCTACCTTATAGGGTTCGCGTGTTAACGAAAACTCACCACCGCATTCTCTATCTCTCTATCAACAGTAAATTTTATATGCGGTTACGTACGTCAACCTACGTTTACGCTACGTCGTTGACTAACGGCGCTTTAATATTTTTTTTTTTTTTCATAAAAAGATTTGGGGAGGTGTAATTCGATGAAATCCATCATATAATCAAAAAGTTAATTTTGAATTTTTTATCAGTTACGACTTTTTGCATTTCAGCAACGATGTTTGTTACGTCGTATTGCATTTCCGGTGACGGTGGATGATATATCATATATGTAGTTACATAAAGGTATTAATAAATAATTAAAACTATTAAAATTTATTATTTTAATGATTAATCCTGTTGAATCCTTCTAAAATAAATTTGACTTATTTGTGACTCAAAATGTTTGCTGGGTTTGTGCTTTTCTATACAAATATGAAGTTCTGTCTGCATTGTGTACTATAATAGGGAATTTACATGATTCAACTTTCACAGGCGATAAGTTGAATCAAAAGTTGAACGAAAGTAGGCAGCCGACCAACTTCATTGAAAGCGATTAGTTGAAAGGCCGCTTACACTAGGCGATTGTTGCTTTCAACTAAAAATCGCCTCATGTAAATTCCCTATAAACGTTCATACCTGTCGCAACAACGAGCAAAAAAATTTTAAATTTTCAATTTTCTTCATACATGTCTGCAGACCTAGTATTTGGTATGCGCACGCGCCTATCCACAATGCGACGGTATGTCATACTTGACATGTAGTACAGACAAGTTTGCTTGTGCATATTCTGGTTAAGGTTATTTTATTTACAATAATATACCCGAAAATATACAACTACAACAACCCCGCCCAGATAGATCTGTTAGTCCCTTAATGGTTGTCGTCAAGCTCTATTGGCGGTAAACCGAGGAAGCGTGCAGCCTCAATGGGGTCTGTAGTCTCTAGTGAACTTATAGTGCATTTATAGTTAGTTGAGTTCCCTACCGGGCAGCAACATTGTCAGAAATTCTTGCGCTTTCAGAATGTTCCCTTTCTGAAATAAAAGACCTCTTTCGAAATACCCTCTACATGTGAGGTGTACTTGCTCATGCAACTTCTTTCTGAAATTTCTCAATTTGACAGCCTTTCGGAAATATATTGCACTGCCACGTCTGCCACGCTCTATAGGGTAGAGTCTATACACACATATCCTATCCACATAAACAAAATGTATATAGTAACACAAAGTCAGTACTCATTTGTACTGGAACCTGCAAATTTTTACTGAAAAAGTGTATAATAACTAATGTGACCAACTATTTCATAGCTCAAAGAAGTACAGCTTGGGTTGGGTTAAGTTAACGCCGGGAGCCGATTACGGAGTTTTGAATGCGGCTAATTTCGATCCCTGAGAGCTCAGTGTTTGTTCAGGAGTGTGAGCCAAAATGCTTCCAACTTAGCCTCGAGATGGTTGGACAGTCTAAAAGAAAGTGTGGAGATTCCATTTCATCTTCCTCTTGGAAGCTGATACGAAAGGATCAGTTGATCATCCTAGTCTCACCGCATGAATACCAATTGCACAATAGGCTGTCAGAACCCCCATTACTAGCCCTTGAGAGGTAACGTGTTTTAAAGTGCCCTAGCTCCCCTGCAGCGGTACAAGGCAACCGACACCTTTCCAACCCTTACCTCAATGTTAGGCTTCCACGACAGCCGCCGTTAATCGCCCATCTAGTTACCTGGTTCAGGTAACCTTGAGCCAGATCAAAAAAGGGTGTATAGAAATCGTACCTTAACCAAAAGTTCCACTTTTCCAGTTCCTGTAGAAGGTCGTTTACAACCGCAATCCAGAGCCAAGGGAGAGAGAACACCAACTTGTGGAGTGCTCCTATTGACACTGCAGATGCTCCCCTACTCCTCCGCGACTGTTCTGTCACCAAGTAAGCTGTAGATAAGCCTTATTAGGTTGGTTTCTACCCCCGATTATGAATATACTTTACTATTGCCTGTGGAGTGACATTGTTGAAGGCCCCCTCGATATCGAAGGAGGCCTCTACTGCGTAATCTTCATGCGTGAAGGCTTCCTCTGACCACTTTACCAATGTGTGCAGGGTGGTCTTCACCGAAATTTTCTTGCAATAAGCATATTGAGCTCTTGAAAGACAGTCACGAGGAATCGCGTTTATGTCTATCAGTCTCTCTAGCGTTTTATAGCAAAAGCGTGTTTAGCAAAAGCGAAGAGACTGGTAGGCCTAAAATCCCTAGGAGAAACATGAGAGCCTTCTGCAGCCTTCGGGATGAACGCAACACGGACTACCCTCCAAGCATTGGTAATGTACCCGGTCCTCACGCAGTTCCCATAAATAGGATCCAGTCAATTGCACGACACCTTCAAAAGATCGGAGAAGAACAGGACCTGGCGGGAAATTCTGTAACCAGTTAGCGACAATCGCTATCCACCCAGGCTGAAAAGTCATCGTGTAAATTGGCTCTAACTATTAATCTCCAGTTTGTTTACTTTACCGTGAAAACACAATGCCGGCGAACGGCGAACTCACCACAGCGAAATTACCGCTGTCCAAATTATAGCCCGAACACAATGAAAACGACGAGCTACAAACCACAGCTGTCAAATTATTTTAACACGTACTCTTATGTAGATAATTATTTTGGCGACGACCGGGCTACGCGATGGCTGTGGTTGTGGCCAGATTAGATCTATTTCTATTTTTCTGGCGACAGATAAGGTTCTTCCTCTTCTTTTATATCAAACTCATACAAATTCATGATGTCGCTGCCGCGTTCAAAGAAATCATGTCGCCATCAACAAAGCGTTTAGATAATGAAGAAAAGCGAAATGCGAAGTTCGCTCGGCGGCGTTTCGTGGCGATAGATTTATTTCTATCGCTCTGCTGGGCGATGGCGGCATTACTTTCAAAGATTTAGAAGAAAACAGCATGTAACACGAATTGTATTGAAAAATACAGTGAACGATTCGTTAAATCTGGCTTAAAATAAAATAATTTATAATAATTCCCCCTTGCCTTATATTTATATTTGTTATCATTTCATCATTTCTAAATATGGTTTCGTTTTTCAAAATATGGTCACCTCACTTATAACTGCGACGAAATGGTATCAGCTGTTTTCGCTACCGCTCTAATTCTGTTAAAGTTGGCGAAATATCAAGGCGAACGATGAACGACGGCATCGCCCAATTCGGCGAACTTCGCCATTCGCCGGGTATTGTGTTTCAAGCATTAGTGTGTGCTGACTATGGTTGCCGTATAACGTTTTTCGGTTATACCATAATTTTCCTTTAAAAATAGAACACAACTTTGCAGGTCCTATCTAGTTGCTTTTTTGAAGTAAGTCGAAGCAAGTCCGTGTGTTTTGTCATCGCGAATGACACCGAAATTATTACGCTCAATGCTTGTTCAATAATACATACGACATATTTTTACCGAACAAGATTCAAATTTTGTCGTATTTTGTTGTATGACTTGTAGCGCTTGTGTTACAGGCCCCTGATCTCTCACATACAACAATTTTTTGTTGGGACTTATAAACACTAAATTTGTATGAAAAAATTTCGCATGTGCCAAACTTTTAAATTATACGCCAAACATTTAAAACATACGATAAAATTATACCAAATATCTCGAAATCCAAAGGAGATATCAAAAAACCTAAAAAGCCATTTGAAAGATCTTGATGCGCTTAGTATAACTGCATTATTAACCCGATTTGGCCCAATTTTCACATACGACAATAATTTTTCAGGCGACGATTAATATTTTAACCAATTTATTTTTCAGGTTTCGTTATGAGGAATTTAGCTTTTTTCTAGCGGGTTTTTATAAAAATCTGGATTTTTACTCGAAAATAATTGGCAGCACTGATACACACCTGATACAAAACAAAGCAAATTATTTAATCGAAGACACAAACCACCAAAAACAAAATCACGATAAACGTCAGACATGGCATTTCCAAATATGCAAACAGAGTTTTTGATAGCCGAGCAAAGGTTATAAGTAGAATAGGTACGTGTTTTGGTAAGTTTGCAGTCACACAGTCCATAGCGTAGTGGAATTCATCTTCTCTAGCTCATAAAGTCAAGTCAACCATTTGCATAGTTTCAGCAAGGTAAGTTACAAACGAGTGCTTCTCAGCGACTTGAAACCACATTCTACGGATGCAGTTGGACAGATTTCAATTGTAATCTGTCTCACATCTAGTTAGTTGGTAGTATGGTAGTAATATTAGTCAAATTGAATTTCCAAAATAGTCAGTCATGTGCATTGTGGAAGAATACAAGTGAGATATCTTAGGGTTGACAGATAGTTGACAGGGTGTTCAATATGGCGATGACAGTGTGAACAATATGGCAGCCAATATGGCATACAACACCGAATGGCCCGAAGTAGCCAAACTACGACCCGAATGAAACGCTTCGTGAAAATCCAGGGTTGCGAAGTGGTATTTTGTTGGAAAATATAAAAGCCAGGATTTTGTGCAGCGCCGAATTTTAACAAAAGAGGGTTTTGTGTTCTCAAGATGAACAGAAAAGGGTTGCTGTGCTGTTTCGTTTTAAGCTTATTTAAATCTTAAGGTATCTAAAGGAAACAAAAATTAAAGCAAAAATTTAAAATATATGTACATATCTGAAAATTATAAATAAAATATATATTTTCACGAGAGACAAATTAAATAAAATGGGTTAACTTTAGGGGAAATATACCTATCAGATTGGGACAGATAGCGCTTTTACGTTATAAATAAAAATAATTCCTACTTAAATTTTATATAATTTTGGTAACGTATTTCTAAGCTGACCCTGAGATCTGTGAAATAATACATATTTATGTGCATATATTGTGTTGATTATGCTCTAAATCGCTAAATAATTCTTGCAGCAATCAGCACCATTGGAAAGTGAAGTGACAATAGGCTGGTTTTCTTTATACAGCCCGTTTTAAATTCGTATTATTGTTATAATAAATTACAATTATTGTTTGTTTCCATTTCGGTCAACCGCGCAAATTATTTGTTAAAAAAATGTCGTTTCAAAATAGCAATTTTGTTTACTTTTGAATAAGACTTTATCGAGTGCGCTATAAAGACAGGGGGATAAATGCTGTAAAGAAATATATGTTGAGTCCAATCGGTTTTTTGCTAATCCGGTTTTTGTGTAGGTATAAACAAGGTATATTAAAAAAATAAATCTCCATGAAAAAATATCGTTATTTTCGTATTTAAAATTAATCGGAATTTTATGGGGGGTTATAAAAACTCGTTTTAATTGAAACTTTGTTTTTTCGGCTGTATTTGTTATTATTTATTGGCCCAGATGCAAATATTGAATGAACTAACATATATTAAATATGTACGGAACTACCATTTGTATGCAACCCTGCCTATCCTGTATTCAAGTAGATGTAATTCGAAAAATTTAAACGGATTTCTTTAAATCAACCTGAGCTGCGGACATATTGCGAATTCATTTTAAAACATTAACCACTACATTATATTAGTATTAAATACTTTCAATTAAGAAACAATTCTTACTAGAAAATAAATATGAATCGGTTTATTTTAAATATTCCAATGTATATATTTTGTTAATGCAGATAGTGCGGATTTAACGTATTTTATAACCGTTACATGGGGAAAAGAAATTTTAGGCAGATTGTTATTGACAATTTTTACATAATTTACGATTGCAATCAATTTCTTTCAAAACTATAATCTAAATGATTGCAAGTTGTATTTTTTACGATCAAAACAGATTCCAATATTAGGTATATTATGCAAATGCAATCCAATTTGATTTGAGTTATTCAGTTTTAGATACATTTATATTTCTGTGTTCGTATGGAATAGTAGTTTATGTCGGGAAGCTGGCTTTAGTATAATCCGGCATTCCCTTTATTATTTACAACACATGGAATTTTTTGATGACCCTTAACAAGAATATGTACGTGCTAGTATCGGAACTATTTCTTGCACGTTTATTTATCCAAAATTTCTTCAACGGCTCGGCGTCAGTGAGGGTATGCTGCGAATGCCGCATTATACTAAAACCAGCCTTTCGACATAAGCTACTATTCCATACGAGTGGAGCACGTGCGAAATGCGGATTTTCCCAGTTGCAGTACAGCAGTAACTCGACACCTTCCTCACCAACCGCTCTGTCCTCTATGAGCTTCTTAATGTAACTGCAAATAAAAGATGAAAATTTGAGAAAAAATACTATCACAGCGTTTCACTTGTAGCGTTTCACTCTTGTAGTATATTGGCTATCAAGCACCAGAAAATTTCCATCACGCATGCCATATGCCACCGATTGTCGTGGATCAATTAAAATACTGTCATCACAGCTTTTTGGTACTCCAGCAACTGGTGTGTCTATGGCGGAGTTATGTGGAGCTGTTGCATGACTAAAATCAATTTGGGCTCTTTGAGAACTGGCTTGTTTGTTGCGCGCTATTGGCATCAAATGTATGCAAATTAGATTTCCAAACGGGCAACTGTTGAATACAGGAAAAAATGTATTTTATATGGTTCCGCTAAAGTGCACTACTAACGTGTATAAATTGGCCGACCTTCTAATAAATCATGCAATCCTATTGTATAGTCATCGCCGCCAGTCACCAAGAAATTTCCACTTGGGTGAAATGCAACATCATTCTCCGCGACGAATGCACTGTATTAGCTCGCCTTCAGCTTTGTCAAATATCTTAACGCGGTTCCAACTTAATGCTTAAGCCATCAGATTGCCGTCTGGATGCCATGCCAGCTGTCGTCCCATACCTCTTCCCCCGGTGAACGTTCGCATACATTCGCCTGAAAATGTATCGCAAATTCTTAACTTGTCGCCGCACGATGAAATGAACTTACCATTGGGGTTGAATTTTGCTGCGCGCACCCATTTGTGTGTATTTTGAATCAGTATTTTGATGGCTGTTCGCCATTTTTTCTAGTCTGCAAACGAATAAGCTGACGAAGAAGCAAACAAATTCAAGCACATTGTTGCATTCTACCGTACATTTTAAAAGCTTTAAAATCTTAAAACACATGTGAAAAACTTTTATAATCTGAATATTTCTAATGTCGCAAACAAAACCAAATTTTATAAGTAGCATTTTTAAAAAGCATTCATCTAATATTTTTTCAAGTTTTTGGGCATATATGTTACCATTTGAACAACTAATACTACCAAGTTTTAAGAGACTATTTAATGCAACTCAGGTCATAAAAGCGCACTTTAGACCAAAATAAGCAACTCTAAAAAACAGATGATCGCAGCTGTGGCCCAGGATGACGTCTATTGCTAAGATATCTCACTTGTATTTGTACACAATGGTCATGTGTATGTGCTTCTTTACATACACATATGGCTATGTAGTGAAATGTTGAAACGTTATCGAGCAATTACCATTTACATACATTGGTACGACTAATGAACCCAATGGTAGATAAGTATGTACACGTGTATGTCGTTTATCAAGTGGACTTTGGTGTGAAAGGGTATAATCAGATGTACATTTTGAATCTTTCCAGAATAAAGCCGAAATCAACTTCAAGAAATTAGTGACTAAATACAGTCAAAGCTAAGGAAAATGGCCGAACAATTGCGCTATGATGGTCGAGTGGCGGTTGTAACTGGAGCCGGAGCCGGTCTAGGGCGTGAATATGCCTTGCTTTTTGGTTCCCGAGGTGCCAAAGTAGTGGTAAATGATTTGGGTGGCAGTTTCTATGGCGAAGGCGCCTCCCAGCGCGCCGCAGATGTTGTAGTTGATGAGATTCGTGCACAAGGAGGCACTGCTGTGGCCGATTACAATTCTGTAGTTGATGGGGAAAAGGTAATTGAAACTGCTATCAAAAACTTCGGACGTGTCGACATACTGGTTAATAATGCTGGCATACTGCGCGACCGCAGCATTGCTAAAACCTCTGACCAAGATTGGGATTTAGTGCATGATGTTCACTTGAAGGGCAGCTTCAAGTGCACACAAGCAGCCTGGTCGCATATGCGAAAGCAGAATTATGGCCGAATCATTATGACCGCATCGAATTCGGGAATTTATGGTAACTTTGGTCAAGCGAACTACTCAGCTGCGAAAATGGGTCTTGTTGGATTGGCAAACACTGTGGCCATTGAGGGAGAGAAAAACAATATTCATTGCAATGTTATTATTCCAACCGCGGCAAGCCGCATGACCGAAGGTATCCTTCCCGACATACTTTTCAATGAATTGAAGCCACATTTGATTGCGCCTGTGGTAGCATATTTGTGTCATGAATCGTGTGAAGACAATGGTAAGATGATTAATGCACGATTCTGGCTATTTTACATATGCTAAAATTGAACTTATTTAGGTTCGTATATTGAGAGTGCCGCTGGCTGGGCAACCAAACTGCAAATTGTTCGTGGAAAGGGTAGCGTACTGCGTACTTCCATCGATGAAAAGGTCGTCTCGCCTGAATACGTTAAAAGTGTTTGGTCAAAGGTCACGGACATGAAAGAAGCCAAACACGTGGATTCAATCGGACAGGCATCTGGATATCTTTTGGAAGTGCTCGAAAATTTGAAAGAGGGAAAACTTGATGGAGTTTCTGATACATTCAAATACACTAACAAAGATTTAATTGTGTACGCCTTGGGTATTGGCGCTACTGTAAAGGATGGCAATGACCTAAAATTTTTATACGAAAACCATCCTGAGTTTTCAGCAATCCCATCATATTTTGTTCTGCCAGGCCTCTTGCTAAATATGACATCACATATTGTAGCCGATGCATTACCCTCTGGTAAGGCTGACCTAACAAACGTTCTTCATGGGGAGCAATATTTGGAAATTTGTGATGACCTTCCTATAAGCGGCACCCTTACTACTACTGGAAAGGTATTCGATATTATGGACAAAGGATCTGGCGCGGTTGTTGTTACAAATAGCGACACGTATGATGAAAGTGGTCGTCTTTTGGTTAAAAAATCAAAGCTCTATCTTCGTAGTGGGTGCTGGAAAATTTGGAGGGAAGAAATCACCTATTGCTGGGGTCGTTCCTACTGTAGCCGCACCTAAACGAAATCCTGATGCTATAATACAATACAAAACGTCCGAAGATCAGGCCGCCTTGTACCGCCTATCTGGCGATTTGAATCCTCTGCATATTGATCCCAATTTCTCTGCAATTGCTGGATTCAGCACACCCATTTTACACGGTCTTTGCTCGTTAGGTTTCTCGGTTCGAGCGGTCTTAGCAAAGTATGCAGACAACAAGTCGGAACTTTTAAAAGCTATAAAAGCTAGGTTTTCAGCGCCAGTTATACCAGGCCAAACACTAAGTGTGAGTATGTGGAAAGAAGGCAAACGAGTTCTTTTTACTACAACAGTCGTGGAGACTGGAAAACTAGCAATAACTGGGGGATACGTAGATCTGAAGGATACTTCGGCCAAGCTATAAAGCAACTATCTATAAAGGTCAATGCGTATATAAATATTACAATGTTTTTTGAGTATTTTGTGGTTATTAAGGTGTATTTTCATATTATTTCAATTAAAATATTATTTTCTACTGCCTAAGGGAAACCCTTTTTGCTTATTGCTTTTTTCACAGTAACTATACAAGATTTTTACACGATATGTACCATAATTTGCTTAAAAATTTCGTTTTTGAGTTATGTCTGTCTTTTAGTAAGTGAGTGAACAAGTAGTATTGTCATATAAATGTCAAAAGGTAAGATTAGCACAACCCCAACAAGGACAACTCAGTAATAATAAGTCTTAGCATTGAATTTGTATCAAGCTCACAGATATGTCGTTGGGAAGTTGAAAATGTCGGCAGATCCTAGAGTCAAAGTAAGACCTCATCGACATTTTTGGTCCTAAATCTGTAACACTTTTCTTTTGTAAAAAAGACTTAAGCGCCCATTCGTTTTCGAGGTCAACTGACTGCTGTCTACACAAATTTGATATTGGCTAAGCAAAATCGACGTCGACGTTGAGTTCCAACGTCAAAGCTTTTATCGACACCCTCTCTGTTAACGGCTAGAAGAGAAACAATAATATCGTTACCTAAACGTAAAAAGGTGACAAGTTCATTTTTTTTTTATTATTCAGGAGGGACGAAAAATCGATGTAGTCTCGCAATATCTGCCATTCTGCATTGAAACAAAGTGGACTTAGGCCCTTTTCACCTTTTTAAAATTTGTATATTCTACTTTTCAAGTCGAGGTTTAATATTCTAGAGATAATTGAAATATCAAATTAGCTATAATGTCGCATATTCCCTTTTTATTTTATCAGCAACTTTTGCTTTTGTTTAAAACTTTTAGCAGAAGTGAACTACAAATTCATTTAAGAATTAAATCGTTTTAACTTTTCTGTGTTCAATTTAAAAACTAGTTGCAACTAGACGTGCACAGTTGTGGTCAACTAATTAAGTTAGCGACATATTGACCATTGTACAAAAATTCGAAAAAGCGATGCAGGTCACACGACATTGATTAATAAATAATTTGAATTTGATTTTTAACAGGTGCAACTCTTTTAGAAAAAATAATTAAATAATTTTAACTTATTATTGCTGAATTATTGAATTGTAACCTGATCTATGAGCCTAAGATTTGATGACATAACAAACAAGTAAAAAAGTCTAAGTTCGGGCGGAGCCGAACAATAAATACCCGGCGCAAGTATTAAATATAGTTTTTTCCACCTTTCCGAAAAATACCATCACATGAACACCTTCCATAAACTTATATATGTAGTTACATGTGGGCGGTATCACGCCTATTTTCCAAAATTCCATAATAATGTTACTTACTTTTATGGGATTGTTATTAGTATCAATTTTGTTTAAATTAGCGTCTTTAATTTTCCAAATATCGCAATTTCAATAATTTTCAGCGTTTTTATTTTATGTGGCAAGCACAGTACCGAGTTTGGTACAAACGGTTGCCGAGATACACATATGTGGTCATAAGTGGGCGGTGCCACGCCAATATTCCAAAATTTTATCATAAACGTATTTCTTGCTAAAGAATTATTGCAAACGTCAATTTTGAATAAATTAGCTTCAGTATTTAATGATTTATCGAAGATTTCGTACTTCTCTAAATTATTGTTATATGGGATGTGGGCGTGGTTATTGCCCGATTTTAAAATTTTTCAGCCGTTTGGTGTGTTGTACCAACAACCATTCCAAGTGTGGGAGAAATTGGTGGAGCGGTTACCGAAATATATAGGCCCCTATTATGAGTTGCATTCGATCTTCGACCGTGGTTGAAAGTGCTGATCGAACGAATTTTATGGCGCTCATTAAATGAAGAATATCGCTATTGTGAATTTCGCTCGTTTAGGTTGTTCACCGCGGAGAAGCTTTGTTTACAAATCGAGCAAACTAAATAGTGGGCTTATTTTTTTGAGTACACAGTTTTATAGCGCATTCAATTTTAGTCCAATAATGTGCAAGTTTCAAGTCGCTAAAGATTACCGTTGATTTTTTAGAATTTTTTTGTCTCATTTGCTTCCATATAACGACTAAACACAATTTATTTTTATATGGCAGAAACCCGCAACATCCTCGGCGAAAAAAATTCTAAAAAATCAACGGTAATTTTTAGCCACTTGAAACTTGCACATTATTAGACTAAAATTGAATGGGCTATAAAACTGTGTATACAAAAAAATTCTACCGCTTCTGAGAAAAAAGTTTGAAATTTGGGTGAAAATTTGTTGCACTTCTTTGCGGCCTTTTAAAAAGTTTTAAACTTGAGTTTATGTGAGTTTTGTGAGAGAATGAACTGTATTTTAATTGAAAATTCTTAAAAATGTATAAATAAACATGAGTGGCAAACAATATCACTTTGAAATGGGGGTGCTATTGCATTGGCCAATACTGTATATTAAAACTATAAACAGTTCAATGATTTTGTTCTCAGAGAACGTGACAACAGAGTATTGGGATTTTCTTTCATAAGTAAAACCAGCCTTTCGAGCTTGTGTATAGTATTCACGACGATAGAACTGCATTGAATAGGCGTGGTTATTGTCCGATTTTGTCCATTTTTAACCGACTTCCAAAAAAGGAGGAGGTTATCAGTTCGTCGGAATATTTTTTAATTTTTTTTTTTATTGTTTTTATTTTATTTATTTTTTTTTTATTGTTTTTATTTTTTTATATTTTTTGATGTATGTTACCGCATAACTTTGGACCATGTCAACCGATTTCGATAATTCTTTTTGCATCGGAAAGGGAGTGCCTGAGATCAGAGGTGGTCCCATACTAATCTGGTTAAGATCCAATCAGTGGATGATGAGATATATATATATATATATATTTTTATATGAGAGTTGAAGTTGGTTTTTTTTTTGCTAAAAATTACTTGTCAATACCATCCATCCTACGCTAAAAAGAAGTACACATATCAAGTTCCGTTAAGATATCTCAATTTTTGCTCGAGTTATCGTGTGCACAGCCAGACTGACGGACTGACAGACAGTCACCGCTTAATCGATTTCTCTTTTCATTCTGATCATT